TATCATCCCACAATTAGATATTTTTCTAAATGGATTTACATGGTAACAACGAACACTTTCTGACCTTTTCTGGTCAAATAATGCAAAAACACTTTTGGCGTGAAAAAAGTAAATTATAGATCATCTACAGCTGCAGTTTTACCATCAAATCAATTGTAAGATATATACTATTGGTAATAAGTTGAGAAAGTATCTATATTCTCTAGCTTTTCATCGTTATCCTCGCAATTTTCCTTCACCGTGGAAATGGCCGGACAACTGGGTTTAATATAATGGTGCGTAGACCTCAAGACGGCGGAGTCCCATCCACGCTAGGTGCTGCCGCATGGAGACAAAAGAGGTCCCCTGATGACGAGCCCAGTTGTTACACTGGCAGAGTTGTGTCATTCACTTTGCCAAGCAACAACAAGGTATCTGTTCCGATTTGTAAGACAGTAACGTCTTACAAAACTGCATGTTTTAGTTCGATGGCAAACAACAACAACCAGAGGAAATGTGTTCCGTCCCGTACGATCACGATGGAAGGAGTATCGTTTAACACAGCCTGTTCATGCGCACCATAGAATATTTAAAGCCAGAAACTTCTTAACTCCGGCTACAATGTGTCTGGAACACAAGGACTAAAGTTATATCGAACATTGCAATATTTATCATTGTATCATTTGTACGTTTTATATTTATATATATGTATATTTACGAACTTATCCATATTAAAAAAAATTGCTGACTTTATTTCTCTGTCGTTTGCACGTAACCTCCATATCCTTAAGGTGATTCCTTAGTATTTCCTTACGAATCCTGTACTGCGCATGAAATCTCGTTATCAGGCGAATAAGCCCGCGCGATTTCCGAGAAAAGGCCTCTGCACCAATTAACTAACTTATGTTGTGGTATAAGCTAACAATAACAAGGGCTAAAAAGGTAAATAGATATGAAAGGTTTCTCTTAATCAACTCCAGTAGAGTTTACCTTAAAATACAATTTTTACATTCTGAGAAAGAAACATTTTCCTTCCATCGACACCTTTAACAGCTTTTATCGCATACATTGCGCTGTTTTACAGGGATTTCCAGGGCCTGTGAAAAACCCCAACAGAATACTTTGACACGGCACTCTTCCTTCGCTCCACTCTGTCAGATTGATGAATGAATGGTGAAGCGCTCATCATTCTCTATTTTTCGGCACAAAAAATTCCGATGTATCATGATATATCTATGCACACCAAAATGAGGGGCTAGATTTCACCTTATTGGAATATATGTAAAATGAAGAGGTTTTCTAATCTGTTATCAAATCGTCCTCACATCAACTTTCAACTTTCAACACACTTTGACAAAACTAGAAAATTCCCCATAACTACTATTTCAAATACAATATTTTACCTGAAAAACTTAACTTTAGCACAACAGAATTGAAAATATGACGCATTTTAGCACATGGTACTCCATTTCAAATGCTATAATGAAATACATCTTTAACGGCGGAAAAATAACCACGATAAAGTGGCAGAGAAAGAGCAAACAGGCAAAAAACTGATGACGTAGAACTCCAATAACCAGATTACCATTTCCACCGACACTGAGGTAAAAAACTGTTTTCGTATATACAACATAAGCTGAATTACAAGCGGACTAAAAAATCATTTTCTTTCTATCACATGCTCAGAAACTTTAAAATCATGTGTTCCGAGCAGTGAATGTGCGCCTGCGATCAAGTTCTGCCCAAGGAGCGGTAGATGAGAGAGAGTACCTATTAGTTCCTCTAATACTATAAACATTACTTTCTCTTTGGGCTTTGAATATTTTTTGAAATAGTTTAGGGCAATATTTATATGATGTTAAACAGAAACCACGATTTCGAAAGAGGTCCTGTCACGGATGCCAAAAGGAGAAATCACAAGGAAGACATAAGTTAAAAATAACGTGAGCAAGACGAGGTGTCGGCTTAGTGCTGTAAGTAAGTCCCTAACTTTTTGGCAAGTCCGCTGACCAGCGAAGAAGGCTTTGGCATGTCAAACAGTTCTTTGTGAGGCTCGACTTCACTAGTAACTAAGAATTGGTAAAACATTGAACAATCTGTTAGGAAATAACGCATATTTAACTGTTAACTGCGATTTGAAATCAGCAAATTAAAAGTGCAGGCATAAGGTTTGCGTACATATTACGTATGTGTTCTTAGACGCTCGGATAAATATACTGTCGGGGGGGTTATTTGCCGTCCTACATTTCAGTATTCATGGATCTTCTGTACAAACCTTGCTGATCCCGAATTTGAATATTCGTCCACTGACTGATTAGAGCCTCCCTTTTTTTCCAAAGGCAGGAAAAGAAAAGACAAATGCAGCGGACCTGTAGCTCAACAACAGTGATGGTGACGTCCAGGACGAGACGAGAAAAACATATACTTTTAAAGAACGTTGATAGAGAAAAAGAAAAAAGAAATCAAAGAAAAGGTCATTAGAGATCGAACACCAGCGTTCTTGATTGAGAGGAGACGATTTTTCCGTTGTGCAAAGTATGCGGAGATCATTCCTTCATGGTTACTTGAAATAGATGTTGACATTTCGAGTCTCCATACTTTTTAAGTGCATCAAATACCCATTCTATTTACATTTATTCCTTGCTCTGTTCCCAGCCCTGTCAACTGACCAGTGTTCAACCTCGCATCTATCCGATCATACCCTGGTTCTAATTTATTTAAAGCAAAAAACTCTGCTCTGACTAAGTCCTTCTTACCTTACATCTTGCCTTAAATGCAAAAAAAGTTAGACCGGGACAAATTGTGAAGAAGGTAATTTTAGCTTATAAATCACCACTAAATTTTGCATGTAACTTTTCACACCAATAAAGTAAATTCTGAAAACATTTACAACCTCCACACCCTAACATCAGGATACATATTCTCCTTACTGTTCCCTATACATTTCCTAAGGTGCAGATAAGGAGAATTTGTTTAACCATCAAGAACTTTTTTAGTTGATGATCATAGGGTTAATTAACAATTATTCCATAAGTGCGTTGGGTATGTGGTGGTAAATAGCTTTTACCAAATAACCAAGTAAATAGCTTTTATCGAACAAGTGCGAATGGAATAATGTCTTTATAAAATTTCATTAGATCCTGAAAGTTTGGTCATTTAGAGCGTTTTTCAGCTCCAAAACAGTTTGCGTAATGCGTTTCGATATAACGTGACTTGGAATATGAGCGGATATCACCGGAGTTGAGTGAACCAATCAGAACACTAGAAATGCAACACTCCGAGTTTAAAATTAAATAACAGCCTCTATTCAGCCTCAAAAACTGATGAATCCGGGGATATTTACATAGATTTAGAAAGGGAGCTAGAATTTTTGCTTCGATAGAATATATGTAGGATGTGGAGGTTTTAACCTGTGTTCAAAACGTCCACATATAAGCTTACAACTTTCAACACACGTTGAAAAAAATGACTACAGAGCCGAGTGAGTTGCTGATGTTCTTACCACATATTGGCCTCATTTTTCATCTACTACTGAACAGAACGACGGCAACATGAAATATTTTTGTTTTGTAATGTAGAAAAGAAAATATTGTTAATGGTGACGTCATAGATCATGGTATTTCTTCCAATAGATCATCAGTAAAAGCCATGCAATCAAAATGTGTGTATAATTTAGCTAATCGTATAATTTCGTAAACACCACACAAGCTGAATTATAAGTGGACCAAAAAAATTCTCTTTTTATTTCTGTAAAATAATAAGAAACTGGAAAATCTTGCACCCTGCGCAATGCATGCGCATTAGCGATTGTGTGGTGCACAAGGAGTGATATGTGAGAGAAAGCGGCTACGAGTTCCTCTAAAACAAAATGATTGCCCCAATTATATTCTGAAATAAATTTAGAAACCAGCTTAAATGATTGAAAACGGGAAACACGATTTCGAAAGACGTTCTGTCACGGATGCCAAAAGGAGAGATCATTTCTCACGTATTACAATCGTACTGCAACTTTTCATCTTATAATTGTATTTATGTCTGCCGATATTTAATACTTTTGGGAAGTTCTCTCTTTGGAAAAACTGTACAAGTCTTTCAGTTGTTACTTGTTACACTTTCGAAAACCCACCCGTGGAATAAAATGAAGTCTAAAAAACCAAACATCAACTTATTGGAATACGTGGTTTAGCTCACCGTTAAAAAGATTCCTTTTCCCTTTTCGTATTCAGCTCATGCTATTTCAGAAAATGGCATTTCATCTATGTGGCTCTGTTTTACTGTAAATCATAAGATCACTATTTTGGTAAATATCATTGATTCTGCTTTTTATCACCGATCGAATCTTAATTAACGATTCATGTTACAAATGTCCATTTTCGTGCTGATGTATTCATTTTCTCGTAAGATCGTGAGGTATCATTATTGCCAATGTCTTCCAAGCGTTCTATCATTTATCTGTTATCATCTGATAGTCATATAATGTAATGGTGGACATTCTCTCTGTTTCTTGTCAAACACCTTCAAATCAGTTTGATATCACACAATCTTTTCTCTTCATAGTAGCTCATAAAATATCAAGAATAATATGCTACGAAAACAAGAATAACAAGATTTCACGTGAACTGTTGAAATTCATGAAAAAAACCTATGCTAAAGGCGGGTGAACATGATTTTCATTCTTCGTGCGATTCAACGTAGAATTTCTTCACGCTGTAGGAAAGGAAAGAGTACTGTAATTCAATAAACCAAACAGGTTTCTATACGTGACAATCAAAAGAAATGCTAATCCATCATCGAAACTGTACTAAAACAACGGGAAAAAGGATGGAACACTGAGCAGAATCGAAAAACGGATGAAGAAACTGAGGAGGAAAAGCGGTAGTTTCCCAATTATAGATATTTACTTCAACGCCAAATTAGGAACACTCAACTGAATAAAAGAGGGAGAAACATCACTCGGCATCAAAATCCATTTCAGAGAGAAAAGAAAGAGAAGAATTCAAGAGATACTAAGGAATTGAGTTATGGAGGTTTACAAGGTAAAAAAATTAACCATGGCTATTTTAAAACGTTTTTATAGAAATTCCATCATTTCTTTATTTTTAATTCCCCAGTTAGGTATTTTATTTTACATGGTTTTACTCGGCAACATGGCTGACTTTCTGATCTTTTCTGGTGGAATGATTTAGAAATATTCTTGAAAGGTAATAACAAGAAAGGGCTTTTTTAAAGATGTTCATTCTGATGCAGTTTAACAAAGTCAATTCGATTATACAATGTTAATAATAATTTGACAAATGATCTCTATATTCTAGGTTCTCGTCGTTATTCTCGCAATTTATCTTCACCGTGGAAATTGCCGGGCATCTGCATTAAACAAAATCGTCCCCAGAATTGAAGATGGCGGAGTCCACTCCAAGCTGGGTGCTGCTGCATGGAGACAGAAGAGGTCCCCTGGTGACGAGCCCAGTTGTTACACTGGTACACATGCGTCACTCTCTTTGCCAAGCAACAAAACAGTAACCGTTCCCATTTGTAAGACAGTAACATCCTACAAAACTGCATGTTTCAGTTCGATGGCAAACAACAACAACCAGAGGAAATGTGTTCCGTCCCATATGCTCACAATGGAAGGAGTCGCGTATAACACAGCCTGTTCATGTGCACCATAGAACTCTTAAAAATCCAGCTGTTTGGACTCCTTTATGTACCAGAGTCTGTCAGGAACACAATGACTATAATTGTATCGAGCAGCAACTGCTGTTGAGAACTGCTGCAGTATTTATCATTATATCATGTATATGCCTCGTATTTATTTGTATGTATTTATAACCTTATCCAAATTCAAGAGATACTTGATGGCCTGCCTTGTCAACCGTTTCACAAAACCGTTAAGAAAGTTTTCAAACCCGCAGTTGTTATATTCCGAGTAATTTTACTGGATCAATTAAATATACTGGTTAGGGGAGTGCCGTATCATTGTGTTGTGTTCTTAGGCAAAACACTTTACTCTCACAATGTCTCTCCCCACCCAGGAGTTTGTTTGAGTATATACCAGTGAGTTATCCTGCAGGGAAGCCGGATGAAATGCTGGGGAGTTACCTGGTAACGTTGTGATTAACTGGCATCCCATCCAGGGGCGAGTAGTAACTTTTCTTGTCGCCTCATGCTACGTGGAAACAGGGATAAGCTCCGGCTATATGGGCCACTTAATTAGCTTGAATACAAACTTAACCTTTTTTAATGATACATGTTATTATATGGCAAATGAGTCTTAAGGCAAATCCGAGCGTTCTGGTTGGTTCTTGCTTGGTCCATTTTTTGCCATACGATCCCATATATAAAAGCTTCAGTGCAACGAAAAAGATTCCAGTAGGTTCACAGTAACTATATTTAACCTTACATGACTGCGAAACGTCCAGAACATAGCCAGTCCGGCACAGTTATCAAATTTGATAAGCCCATGACGTCACAACATAGCGACCATGCATAACTCGATAAGTTTTGGAGGATATCAACTTTGTTCGTCAAATTTTTGGCTTTTCAATTTTAAAGCAGTTGTCCATTTTTTATGGAACACGCAGAAAAAATGCTGTGTTCTATAATTAATTTTTGTTTCGATTCATCGCGTACTCGTCAAAGGGCACAAAGTCGTATGAGGCAACTGTTGTTTTTGATGTGCTCACCAATTCCGCTTCTGCCCGTCATATTTCACGGTTTGTACAATGAAGATCGTGAAAACACGACACGAAGGTTGTTGTTGTACATACTTGACTGGAAATGACCTTTCAAAACTTCTTATTCTGAATATGTCTTTTTAGGCAATAAAGCGGGTATCATGCAGTCAATGAGTAGAGGTAATCACATGATTTCGAGTGCAAGCTGGGATAAATCAGCACGAGTAAATCTTGAGCATGCTGAAATTTACGCATATGTATTGTTAGGTCTGAAATTATTGGTGTGATTTGAAATCAGACCAAAATTGCCTTTTGAAATCGCAAAATTCAGTCATTCAAATACGGTTTTTTTCATCTGCAAAAATATTTTATTCATCCAGTATTCAGCTGGTTTGTAAAAAGTTGATAAAGGTGTCTTTCATTTTCCTGCAATTTGATAGATTTCTTAAAACAAGCGTTGAGGTCTGATTGGTTGTTGTGACTTAGTGAAGCTGTCTCATTGGTTGGATGAAAGATGCAATTTTGAGCATAAAATGGTGCGATTCGTGACCAAACATGAAAAAATCTCAGCATGCTTATTGGCTGAGAATACGTAATTTATTCCAAAACAGTGCAGAAAGTTGAAATTGAGTGCAGAGAGTTGAAATTAAATTGATTGACAGGTAAGTCAGAAAAGCACAACAAAACAAAATGGCGGACAGATGAGGAGAAAGTAACAACGTTTTAATTCCGAGTTTGAGAGAGAATGCTAAAAACAAAAAAAAAACCAAACAAGTAAAACAAATAGCTTTAAGTCTGCCGTTCAAAATGGACAAGGAGGTCCAGAATAACATGAAATTCTCGAGGAGTAATACGCAACAGTTGGTACGATAGACAGTGAAGATTACGAGCGAGCAGCTTTCGTGTAAAAGACTACAAATTGCACTTGCCTTATGGGCTCGTGCAATTTGGTTAGCCTATGAAAAGTTTACTCGTGATGATTTATCGCAAATTGCACTCGAAATCATGTGTTTACTTATATTAATACCTTACATGCAAACATTTCAGCATGCTCATCGGCCGAGAACATCAATCGCAAATAGTGCAGAGAGTTGCAATTGAGTGCAAAAAGTTGAATTTTAATCCACTGACAAGTAAGTCGGGAAAACACAATAAACAAAATGGCTGTGTCATTCACTGAATAACATCATCTTTCACTAAAATGCCACCAGGCCTAGAATTTACCCTCTTTTTTTCCAGCATTGTGCAACGATGTAAGCACACCAAATACAACAGAGGAGATCTATCACAAAAACTAGACTCCACATTCACAAAGGCGGCGAAAAGAGCAAAATCACGAAAATCTATGTTCTACAGAGTTTGCAGTCAAATAAATTTTAAAAAAATGCCCCGCAAGATAGTTATCTTTGCACCAAAACTGTTTATCGTCAGAGTGTTCCTCGAAGTATTCCGTCATTTGGTTATGTGAAGAACGATTTGATACAAAAAGTGAGAAAATATGACATACTTTATTGATCCAGTAATAGGGTCATAAATACATACATATAAATAAGAAACATGCATGATACAATGATAAATAATGCAACAGCTCTAAATGACAGTTGCTGGTTGATATAACTATAGTCCTTGTGTTCCAGACACATTGTAGAGTTAAGTTTCCGGCTCTAAGTATTCTATGGTGCACAGGAACAAGCTGTGTTAAACGCCACTCCTTCCATCGTGATCATATGGGACGGAACACATTTCCTCTGGTTGTTGTTGTTTGCCATCGAACTGAAACATGCAGTTTTGTAAGACGTTACTGTCTTACAAATAGGAACAGATACCGTGTTGTTGCTTGGCAAAGTGATTGACGCATGTGTACCAGTGTAGCAACTAGGCTCATCACCAGGGGACCTCTTTTGTCTCCATGCTGCAGCACCCTGCGTGGACGGGACTGCGCCATTTTGGATTCTACCCATGATTTTGGTTAAAGCAGCTGCCCGGCAATTTCCATAGTGAAGATAAATTGCGAGGAAAACGACGAGAACCTATAATACAGGATCCATTGTCAATTTATTTTCAACGATATTATAGCTAATTGCATGGGGCCGAGTAAGATTAAGGATTAATATTTCACGCGCGTTTCAGAAGTTCCAGAAATGCTCGTAACTTCTGAAAACACGAGTGATATCAATCCCTTCCTTTTACATGGAAACGAGCCATTGCTTGTTTATAATATAAAGGGCAATTTTTTCTTTTGTAAAGAAGATCTACGCACGCTCTAGGAAGCTTGTTTAGTGTTCAATTAGAGTCAAAGGACTGTAAAACGCAGGAGTCAGCTGAATAAATTCTATTTTTGTACAACAACGGTAAAGCGATGAAAGCAACCCTGCTGGAAAACATTCGCCATCAGTGAAATCATAATGATTTCTAAATTTTTGCACTTTCCCAGGGCAATCGACGAAGTTAAGGAATAATTCCCTTTTTCTTAGGCAATCAGCATTTTGTAATTTTGCGCTCTAAGTTACAAATATTGTAATGATATTCATGGTTAAACTGCAACCTAAAAGAGATCTGAAAAAAACCTTGTTTTTTTATACTTTTAAAAAAGATTTCTAAATTATTTAACCACAAAATTCAGAAAAGTCCGCCGTGTTTCCCGGTAAACCATATCAAAAATACCTAACTGAGGAATAAAATTGAATGAATGAAGGAATTCCTAGAAACACGTTTTACGATAACCATGATACATTGTTTTACCTTGTAAAACTCCATCAATTTCTTAGTATTTCTTGTGGCTTCTGTAAAGAGTCTTCACAACTTGTTTCTTTTCTTCTCTAAAGTTGATTTTGATGCCGAGGAATGTTCTTCTTCCCACTTATATACGATTGAGTGTTCCTAATTTGGTGCTAAAGTAAATGTCTAAAATTGGGAAACTACCGCTTTTCTTCCTGAGCGTCTGTATCCGTTCAAAGTTCCATCCTTTTTTTATTACAGTTCCAATGATGGGTAAGAATTTCTTTGACTGATCCACTGACTGAAATTTGAAATGTCTTTTTTAAGAAATTCGTAGGACTCTGTTTGGAAATTGATTTGATAGGATCAGCAAATAAAATTGTTCTAATTTAAGGCAAAGTGTACTATTAACGGCGCAAAATTTTATTGTTAGAAATCTCTTTGGTTAATAATTATTTTGATGGTTTCTTTTCCTGTATGAGAAGCTGCTGCGTGGAGAGATTTTACGATGCATCAAACTAGGAAAGAAAACAAGTTCATTAGATTTTGATTCTATTTGTTCATTAATTCTATCAGTTAACACAAAATCCTTCTATCATTGACCGAAAAATTGAAAACCATTTTCGTGGCATATTACTCATTTCACTAGCTACTATCAGAGGAAAAAGGTTGAATCATACTGAAATGATTTGAATAAGTCTGAAAAGAGACAGAGAGAATGTTTGGAATCACGTCATACGACTATCAGATACTAACGAGTGAATGACGCAATTCTGGGAAGAAATCGGGAGGAATGATACCTTTAAATCTACCAGGATATAATTACAACAGCACGAAAACGTGCTTAAGTAACATGAATCCTTGATTAAGATTCGTTTAGTGATAAATACATAATCACAATAACCAAAACAATGCTATAGTGATTTATAGTAAAACGGTGTGAAAAAGTGTCACATAGATAAAAAGGGCAATTTCCTGGGATAGCATAGGCTGAACACAAAACAAGGAATACGAATAATTTGACAGGGAGCTAAACCCCGCGTTTCAACTAGTTGATGTTTGGTTTTTTTAGACTTCACTTAATTTAAGGGGGTTTCGAAAGTGTAAAAACTGGAAGACTTTGATAGCTTTGCCAAAGAGAGAACTTCCTAAAAGAATCAAATGTCCGGCATAAATACAATACTACGATGAAAAGTTGTGATACGATTATGAAACGTGACAAATGATCTCTCCTTCTGACATCCTTGACAGGACCTCTTTCAAAATCGTGTTCCCGTTTTAAATCATTTAAACATTACTCTAAGTTATTTCAGAATATATTCGGTGCCCAAAGAGATAGTAATGTTTATGTCAGAGGAACCGATAGGTGCTCTCTCTCATATACCGCTCCTTGTCAT